TTCTATGGTTTTTAAGAAAGAGAAGACAAGAGTTATTGAAGGAGCTTCTGTAAAAGCCAGGTTTTTTTTTTTTGTTTTTGTTTTTGTTTTTTTGAGATGGAGTCTCACTCTGTGACCCGGGCAGGAGTGCAATGGCTCAATCTCGCCTCACTGCAACCTCCGCCTTCCAGGTTCAAGTGATTGTCCTGCCTCAGCCTCCCAAGTAGCTGGGAATACAGGGGTGCCAGCAAGCCCGGCTAATTGTTGTATTTTTAGTAGAGACGGGGTTTCACCGTGTTGGTCAGGCTGGTCTCCAACTCCTGACCTCGTGATCCACCCACCTCAGCCTCCCAAAGTGCTGGGATTACAGGCATGAGCCACCACACCCAGCCCGTAGAAGCCAGTTTTTAAACCACCTACCCACCCATACTGCTTGAAGGTTGGCTAGGGGCTTCCGCGGGGCCTTGGCCTTCCTGCCATGGCGGTGGACTAGACTGTTCTGTCCACTGCCCTGTGTGAGGATGCGGCGGGCAGAGGGCACTGATGGACCCAGCTCAGGCCGGGGCTGCAGCATCTCCGCCTCCATCTCACCAACCCTCACAGGCTATGAAGGACCTCCCCAAATGCCAGGGGAGGGCACTGAGACCCCAGACGGTCCTTGGCCAGCATTGTCACAGCAACAGGACTCTGTGCCTGCAGACCTTTCTCTGGGGCACACCCCATCCACCCTTACTGGGACCCGCAGAATGCCCAGCACCCTTGGGTGGGCCCTGGGGTAGTTTCAGCTCCCTCTGGGGTTCCAGAATGGACGTGGCCTGTGGTTGGGAGGCAAGCACCAGTGGCTAACTGGGTCCAAAAACAAGACACCAGTTCAAACACTGAAACCCATCAGATTCTCCCACAGCCTTCCTGCTATCAGAAGACACTGGAGCAGGGGTGGTTGCTATACAGGGCGGAGTCCCCGATTCCCACGCAGCTTCTGTGTCCTGCCACGCTGGGCTCCTCCTGGCCATCACGTTGGGCCAAGCAGGGGAGAGGTCCGGGGATGCACACGCCCCTGCATCAACGCCGCACAGACAGAACCACACACAGCTCTTGGGAGGAGTAAGATCAGCTGCTCACAGCAGGGGAGGCTCCCGCACAGTGGTCAGCGTGGCAGGGACGGGGCGTTAGCCAAGGCAGGGATGGCGGGAGACGCACTCGGGATCCTCAAGGAGGCTGCAGCACTTCCATTCTCTTTCCAGATAACAAGGACGTGTCGGTGATGATGAGCGAGATGGACGTGAACGCCATTGCAGGCACGCTGAAGCTCTACTTCCGTGAGCTGCCCGAGCCCCTCTTCACTGACGAGTTCTACCCCAACTTCGCTGAGGGCATTGGTGAGCACCGGAGGCCCTGGCGTCCTGGGGGGCATCTCCTCGTCCATTGCTGCCGTTGGGGACTGTGAAAAGCGAGATGTGGGAACCAGAGCTGTGCCACCTCTGCCATAGTCAGCATTTTAACCAACCTGAGAAAGCAGGGGCCAGAACCCAGCCTGTCCTGAAGCCCTCGCCCGTTCCCAAGAGGGCCTGCCGTCCCTATTCCTCCCAGAGACCGAGAGGGTGAAATGGTCAGCACTGCCGCGCTGTGGGGTCCTAGACTCCGCTGTCGTCCTTTCTGCAGACCAGGGTGAAATGAGGGCGCCCGGGTGCTGTAGCCACAGGTCCTGGGCCTGTCAAGCACGGGTTCAGTCCTGGCCTGACCCTCAGTCAACCTGGAGGCTGACGGCTAAAGCGGAAGGCTGGCGCGTGCGGCCATGTAGCCTTCACATCACCCTTAGGGCAGGTCTGCTTCCCGGGCCCGGGCACAGAGGACCTGCTCTCCCAGCCTGCAGGTGCCCCTGTGGTGTCCGGGGTGATGAGGGGGTCTATGTGTAGCTGGTGGGGCTGGGGCCCTCCCACCTCCCACCTCCCACCTGCCACCTGCCACCTCCTTGTGTCCCTCCCTCCCTTATTTCATTCCACGCTGAGCCTCCCCTGCCTTAGGCTGCCTGGGGATGGGGTGGCAGCGGGAGTTTCCCAAGCGCGGCTCTGCCCGTGGGCGGCTGCTCTCACGCCACCTCCTGCCGCTGTTCTCCGGGTGCTGCTGACCCCTGTGAGGTAGAGAAATTCCTTGAGGTGGCTCACACCCCACACAGGCGCCCTTCACAGGGTCCTCACTGGGGACCAGCACTGTGGGAGTGAGGATGATGAGGGGCCTGGGCTGCTCAGGGACCACCTCGGGAGAGGGCTCTGGCTCGTTGTGACCCGGAGGAGTCACCCACCGCCTTCTGCAGCTCTTTCAGACCCGGTTGCAAAGGAGAGCTGCATGCTCAACCTGCTGCTGTCCCTGCCGGAGGCCAACCTGCTCACCTTCCTTTTCCTTCTGGACCACCTGAAAAGGTAGCCCAGCTCTCCCGCGGCTGCCCAGGACTCCAGGGTGCCCCACTGCTCCCGTCAGACCCCCAGCACTGAGGACCTTCCCTCCCAACCCCTGCCTGCAGTCCCTCACTGCCTCAGGGGATAGTGCCTCTGCCGCCCCCGCCCCCGCCTCTCCTCTGTGCCACTCTTCGTCTGCACTGTGGCCTTAACAAAGAGCTGAGCTTTCGCCATGGCCACCAGTGCGCTTGAACCCCCCAGTTCCCTCCCGCCCAGATCATGGAGGAGACCTCCCCACCAGCCCAGAGCTGGACCCTCCTCCTGGGCCCCTCGTCCTGGGCCACCTAGACCCAGAAGTACCAGGGCTGGAGTCAGCTTGCAGCACAGCCAGGGTCGAGGTCGCTCCCCCGAGGACTCCAGTGCGGCCCAGACCTTCCGCCTCTCCCCTGATGGTGGCGTTGAAACAGCCCCCTCTGCTTTGGTCCTCGACAGGGTGGCAGAGAAGGAAGCAGTCAATAAGATGTCCCTGCACAACCTCGCCACAGTCTTTGGCCCCACGCTGCTCCGGCCCTCGGAGAAGGAGAGCAAGCTCCCTGCCAACCCCAGCCAGCCCATCACCATGACCGACAGCTGGTCCTTGGAGGTCATGTCCCAGGTATGGGAAGACAGGCTCCAGCCCATGCCAGCCTGACCTGACAGAGGTGGCCGCTGCCTGTGCCGCCCGAGTCCTGCCTATCTTCCTATGTGCGTTGTATCCATGGAGGTGGCCAAGATTCAGAGACGAACTTGCCTAGGTCTGCACAAACAGGAGTGTTATCGGTGGGGGGCCCAGGCCACCTCCCGGTCCTGCTGGTGCACCCTGCTGGGGGCTTACCACCACCCTGAGTGTTCGGGCATGGCTGCTTATGCCTGTAATCCCAGCACTTTGAGAGGTCACGGCAGGATAACAGAACCCAGGTGTTTGAAAGCATCCTAGGCAATGTAGCAAACTCCATCTCTAGAAAAAATAGAAAAATTAGCCAGGCATTGTGACATACACCTGTAGTCCAGGCTACCAGGGAGGCTGACATAGGAGGATCGCTTGAGCCCGGGGGTTAGAGGCTGCAGTGATCCATGATGGAGCCACTGTCCTCCAGCCTGGGTGACAGAGCAAGGCCCTGTGCGGCTCTGAAATAAAACCAGCCCCTCAGTCATGCCTTGTGAGGACCCCACCCCACCCCCGTCTCAGTGTAAGGGGTTCATGGCACCGGCAGGGGCCTCAGCTCCTGGGCTGGCCTTGGGGGCTTGGGCCCCAAAGACCTCCCCACCAGCAGCTGTGAGCACCCCTCTGAGCTGCTCTCACTTCCCCACTCTGTCCGGGCAGGTCCAGGTGCTGCTGTACTTCCTGCAGCTGGAGGCCATCCCTGCCCCGGACAGCAAGAGACAGAGCATCCTGTTCTCCACCGAAGTCTAAAGACCCCCGTCCATCTCCAGGAGGCGGATAGATGGCCTGGAAACCTCTGGCTGATGGGGCCATCCGTAGAGCGGGAATTAAACCTTCCTGAGGTGTCCTTGGGCCACCCCCAAGCGGCGGGCCATCTGCCAAGAGACAGCCACCCAAAGCAGAAGGCCAGCTGGCCTGGGGAGATCCCAGCCAGGTCTGGGAGCCCCAGGCAGGCCTCAGACTGTGGTTTTTGCACACGGCCACCCGAGGGCGCCCCAAGCCAGTGCATCTCAGAGTCCAGGCCTGACCCTGGGGAACAGGGTGAAGGGAGTAGTTTTTATGAACTGAACTTATCAGAGTTTAAAAGATTTCTACTGGATCACGTGTCAAGATGCGCCCTCTCCGGGGAGGAGGGAGCGTGGCCGGATTCCCTCACTGTTGTATCTTGAATAAACGCTGCTGCTTCATCCTGTGGGGCCACGGCCCTGTCCCTGCGTGGGTGGGGCCTCTCCCATTTCCCTGACTAGAAACCACACTCCATTTAGAGCAGGGTGTGAGAGGCTAAGTCGGCACTGAGTCGCACTATGACTCCATTCAGGGCTTTCTTCTTTTTTTTTCCAGAAGGATTTTTTGCAGAAATGGGTCTTTGTTGCCCTGTTTGTCCTCCTTGGATGGCAGCTCCAGGAGGCCTGTGAAATGTTTGGGGGACAGGACCCCTGGGGAGTCCCAGGCTACGCACTTTAGGGTTCGCCCTCCAGGGAGCGGTGCCTCGTCCCCCCATCCCGACTGCCCTCCTGGTGCACGCTCTCCTGTTTGGCTTCCACAGGCCAGGACTTACCTGGCTTCTCTCTGCCCACACTCTCCCTGCCCCAAGTGTCCCCAGCACAGGTGGCTTCGTTTCCGTTCTCAGCTCAGAGGACGTGCTCAGCTTTTGTAAAAGTGTCCACTGGGTGGCAGCAGCTTGCTGATGACTTGTTTCAAAACTTTGATCTGAAATAGTCTTTTGATACTTGAATATTTTTACGTTTTATACATAGTTTCTAACTTTTTTCCTAACAGATTCCAATACCTAATAAGATGCTAGAATGTATTCCATGGACAATCCGTGTCCTGGCTGCATTTTGTCTTCCTCTAAGCGCCTGGCTCTGCTGCTCTCAGGAGTGGGTTCTGAAGCCTCTGGAGAACAGGCTACTCGGAGAGTTAGGAAGGAACCAGGCCTAGGGACCGGGGGCTCCCTCCCAGAGCAGGTGGAGGCTCAGGACCACCTGCCGCCCCCTCTGCCGGCACGTTGCATGGGAGTCCAGGCATTCTTTGCAACCCCACCTGACCACCTTGCTAAAAGAAAACAGAAGCGTGGAGGCTGCCACCTATTTGCAAGAAATAAACCCGTAAACAATTGCATCTCTTTTTTAGAAAGAGGTTTGGGGCAGGGAAAGGGGAGAAGGGACCCGAAGCCGAGAGCTGAGTTTCCAGAAAATCCTGCAGGAGAAGAAGATGCATCTGCCCAGAGGAGGGAAGTGGAATCGCACTCAGGAAAGTGTGTGGGGTCCCAGGATGACACCAGCACCCAGCGCAGCTCTGTCCGGCAACCTCTCCCAAGGTCGGAGGAGTGAGTGTCCCCTGTGTGTGGATGAGCAGCTCCTGCTGAGCCCGCAGCACCTCGGGGAGCCTGACAGCGGGGTTGTGTGCCTCACACTTCTCTGCTTGTGGACCTGGCGAGTCTGGGAGCAGAAAGAGCCACAGGAAGGTTTTCTGTCTGCGTCTGTGTGTGGTGTGGATTTAGTTGTGCTCTTTTCTTGCTGGGAGGGCACAGCCACCGTTTGTAAGAAGAGTCGCCCTGGTGGGTGGGGAAGACAGAACAGGAGCCTCTCTGCCCTCTGTACCTTTCTGGGCCCGGTGGGCTCCCCTGTCCTGGCTTCCATCTCTGTCTGTCTCCGTGACCCTCCAGCCCTGCAAGGGAACACACGTGGCTTAGAAAAGCCACATCCAGCCCTGGCCTCTGTCTCCTCTGATCTCATGACGTGCATCTGCCGCCTTGAAACTGGAAAGCGATCTATCGATGTCTGTGCCAATTTTCGTTTCCCCCCACAACCTGCGTCCCCGTGCGACTTTTATTTATGTATGATGTGTGCTGTCTAATGATGGGATGACCACACTTTCCATGTTCTAAAAGGGATCCTCCCCCACTGGGTTCCAGGAGTGATGATGGCTTTAGGACTTGAGGTGTGTCACTTACCTGCCTCCTGGCTCAAAAGCCTGTGCAGAAGCAAAGCTGGTGCGGGGCTGGGAAATGCAGCGTTCTCCAGGACGGGACCCAGCTCTCCCCCTGCAACGCAGGCAAAGGCCTGGACGCCAGTGTGACCTCCCACAAGGCATGGCTGCCAGACTCCCTGACCAGAAGTGATGCTTTTTTGCATCAGGCCCTGGGTTTGAAGCAGCCTCGCTTTCTCTCTGTAAGTGGCTGGTGTCTTAGCAGCAATGTGAGCTCGGCCACCTACACAGCACCGTGGGGGAAAGAACTGCTGACACTTTCATTAAAGTTCTCTGACACGATGCATGCTTGTTGATTTCATCATCAGCGCCGCTGAGTGGAACCCCTGAGCCAGTGGAGTGCGGGCTAGAAAACGCAGGTACAGTGATGGGCTGGGTGCCCAGGAGGCCTCAGTGCTCAATCAGGCCAAGGTGGCCAAGCACAGGCCACAGGGAAGCCAGGCCTGGGGGCTGTGGGTGAGCACAGGCAGGTGCTGGCTGGACAGCGTTAGGACGCTGCAGCAGCAGCAACTCCACTGAGTCGGGCGGTCTGATGAGGGCAGGGACTACTGTTGCTTTGCTGGAGAGAGACGATCCCCCCTTGGGAGAGGCTTTTCTGCCCCTGCAGGTGGATCCGGGACAGACCGCTGCCAGGATGACCCGGCTGGTGCTCCTTTGCTGTGCTGGGCCCTGGGACAGGGCGGACTCCCGCCATGCACAGCCTGGGCCCGGGTTCTTACCTGCGGCCACTGCTCTGGTACGAGCCCCTGGTCTTGGGTGGTTTCTGCTGGGTCTGGGGTTTGGTGTTGCTGCTGAGTCCAGCCTTTCCAGCACCTGTGCGTGGGCCCTGGGTGTTCTCAGCCGCCTATCGTCTTACCCTCAGAAGCCTGTGCAGCTTACAGGAGAGCTGCCATGGGCTGGAGATGGGCGTGCAGCCTGGGTCCTGCTCGGGTGGGTGCAGCTTGAGGAGACTCGGCCACGTCTACCATGCCACGGGTTTACCCTCAGCACTGTCCACGTCAGCTGTCAGCCTGAGCCTCCCCAGGAGAGCCAGGCTCACACGGCAAAGCCTCCTGTGGCCAATGAGGTTGCTGAGCCCAGCCAGGACCTTTCTCAGACTCCCAGGAGGTGACTCTGTTCCCGAGCTGCCTGGTCAGCTCTCTCGGGGTGAGAGGGGCTTGTCACACGGGTCCCTGCCTGCAGTGTGACCCTTCTCGGCTGCTCTCAACAGCCTTGTTTATAGAGTGTCACCACACCAGGGAGCAGGACCATTCGTTTCGCCCCAAATCTGAGTTCATTCCACCTTGAAGAGACTTCCTCGTCCAATCTCTCTACTTGATAGCTGTGGAAACCAAGGCACACAGAGCACCCCCAGCTCACTTGGGGGTCTCAGAGCTGATCCATGAGCAGAGGCTGAGATCCTGGAATCTTGTTCTCCAGCCTCCCCGCAAGCTCACTCCCTTTCTGCTGGACAAGATGGGACCTGCCCTCGACCGGAAGCCCCGGCCTGTACATGGCTGTGCCCGTGCAGGAACTCAGACCGAGATGTCCAGGCAGCATGTTTTTGGTTTTTTTTTTGGTTTTTTGTTTTGTTTTGTTTTGTTTTTTTAGACGGAGTTTCGCTCTCGTTACCCAGGCTGGAGTGCAATGGCGCGATCTCGGCTCATCGCAACCTCCGCCTCCTGGGTTCAGGCAATTCTCCTGCCTCAGCCTCCTGAGTAGCTGGGATTACAGGCACGCGCCACCATGCCCAGCTAATTTTTGTATTTTCAGTAGAGACGGGGTTTCACCTTGTTGACCAGGATGGTCTCGATCTCTTGACCTCGTGATCCACCCGCCTCAGCCTCCCAAAGTGCTGGGATTACAGGCTTGAGCCACCGTGCCTGGCCCAGGCAGCATGTTTTTTACCTTTTTTTTTTTTTTTTTTTTTTTTGAGACGGAGTCTCACTCTGTCACCCAGGCTCTAATGCAGTGGCACAACCTTGGCTCACTGCAACCTCTGCCTACCAGGTTAAACTGATTCTCCTGCCTCAGCCTTCAAGTAGCTGGGACTACAAGCTCAAGCCACTACACCTGGCTAATTTTTTATTTTTAGTAGAGATGGGGTTTCCTTATGTTGGCCAGGGTGGTGTTGAACTCCTGACCTCAGATGATCTGCCTGCCCTGGCCTCCCAATGTGATGGGATTACAGGCGTGAACGACTGCATCGTTTAAACCTAGCAAGAGACTGGGCGCAGTGGCTCACACCTGTAATCTTCTTGCTTTGAGAGGACAAGGCAGACAGATCACCTGAGGTCAGGAGTTTGAGACCAGCCTGACCAATATCGTGAAACCCCATCTCTACAAAAAAAAAAATTAGAAAAAATTGTCCCTGCATGGTGTCACACCTGTAGTCCCAGTTACTCAGAGGGCTGAAGCATGAGAATCACTTGAACCCTGGAGGCAGAGACTGCAGTGAGCTGAAATGGTGCCACTGCACTCCAGCCTAAGTGACAGAGGGAGACCCTGTCTCTAAATAAACAAATGTGGCCAGGTGTGGTGGCTCACCCATGTAATCCCAACACTTTGAGAGGCCAAGAAGGATGGATCACAAGGTCAGGAATTCAAGACCAGCCTGGCCAAGATGGTGAAACCCCATCACTACTAAAAATACAAAAATTGGCTACATACAGTGGCAGGCACCCATAACCCCAACTGCTCAGGACGCTGAGGCAGGAGAATCTCTTGAATCGAGGAGGCGGAGGTTGCGATGAGTCTAGAATACACCACTGCACTCTAGCCTGGGCCACTGAGCAAGACTCCCTATCAAATTAATTAATTAATTAATGTACACCTGTAATCCCAGCACTTTGGGAGGCTGAGGCAAATATATCACCTGAGGTCAGGAGTTCGAGACCAACCTGACCAATATAGCAAAACCAGGTCTCTACTAAAAATACAAAAATTAGCTGGGAGTTGTGGCGTGTGCCTACAGTCCCAGAAACTCGGGAGGCTGAGACAGGACAATTACTTGAACCCAGGAGCAGAGGTTGCAGTGAGCCGAGATCCCACCACTATGCTTCAGCCTGGGTGACAGAGTGAAACTCTGGCTCAAAAAAATACATAAATGTCAAACAACCATCTATGTCTGAGGCCCTGGTAAAAATAAATAAATAAATAAAGGCAGATTGCAGAGTCGTGTAGCAGAAGCGTGCTGGTCCTATCCATGTGGTGAAGGCAGAGTTTATACAGAAGCCTCACAAGAACTTTTATATCCACCCCTGAAAGAAAGCCGTGATTGCCTCCATAGAAGCAGTACATGGACTAACGCACGGGCTCTCCCAGACAGCTCTGGAAAGATCAACGGAAAACGGAATGACATGCTCAGCCCTTGAGGCCAAAATGCCCTTCCCCAGAGCAGATGCCACAAGACAGAGCAGGATCGGGTTGGAGGTCACTTCTGGGAGGGGGAGCACAATCACACCCGGGGCAGGGGTGTAAGAGGTTGGGCATTCTCACTGGAAAAGGAGAGAGCTGGTCCGAGATGGCCAGCTGACAGGCAGAGCCTTGCATAACCCAAGTCATGGAGACAAGGACATCAAATTATCTTTGTCTGATGAAGATGTGATCCTGGATTTAGAAACATGTAAAGGCTCCGCCAGAAAACTCCTAGACTTGCTAAATAAGTAAATACAGTTATTATCAGGATAAAGAATCAACATAGAAAAATCAGCATTTCTATACACCAATAATGGTCTAACTGGGAAAGAAATTATGAAGGCAATCCCATTTACAATAGCAACAAAATGAAAAACGTTATGCCTCAGAATGAATTTTACCGAGGAGGTACGAGATTTCTACAAGGAAAACTACAAAACACTGATGAAAAAGCTTAAGAGGACACAAAGAAATGGACAATCATCCCGTGCTCATGGATGGAAGGAATTCGTAGCGTTAAAATGATGATACTGCCCAAAGCAGTCTAGAGATTCAATACAACCCCTACCAAAACACTAACGTCATCACTCACAGAACTGAGAAATCATATGGAACCAAAAAAGAGCTCAAAGAGCCAAAGTCATCCTCAGCAAATAGAAAAAAAAAAAAAAAAAAAAAAGCTAGAGGGATCCCATTTTACTACAAAGTAGAACAACATTTTTGACAAGTGCGTGATCATAGCATGAAAATAGACACATAGCTCAATGGGATAGACGCATGAGAGAGCCCAGAAAGACAGCCACATATTCACAGCCAACTGATCTTCAACAGAGCCGACAGAAACACACTTAGAGGAAAGGATGCCCTCTTCAATGAATGGCACTGGGAGGGCTGGATAGCCGCATGCAGAAGAATGAAACTGGGCCCCTATCTCTCACCATATACCAACATCACCTCCGGATACATCCAAGACTGGAATGTAAGATATGAAACTACAAAAGTGTTAGAAGAAAACCTAGAGAAAACTCTTCTGGACTTCGCTGTAGGCGAGGAATCCATGAGGAAGACCTCAGAAGCCCGACCTTAAGAAGGATGAGCTGGAGGATGGCCCAGCGGAACTGTGTCCAGCAGAACCCTGGACAGCGCACGAGGAAGCCTTAAAGGCCAGATTCCTCCTTGCTGTGCCCACGTGGGAAGTGGGGTTGCCAGCGTCAGAAGCTGGCCCAGACTTGCACCTGAGGCCTGCCTTGTTTTGCAGTGGCACTGGGTCCCCGCCTTGCAATTGGGGGTGACTGCTTAAGTGGCCCCCCAGAAATATGATGGAAAGGAAGGACAAAAGTGCCAGCCAATAGAATTGCTCCTTGTGTTGCCTCCCCCGGTCACCATGTGGTGCTCGGACTGGGTGGGGGTCCTCTGGTGTTCAGGCCCCCTCATACCCCAATGCTGTGTGTGGTGCTCAGGGCCTTTCTCTTTGCCACTGTGCTGCTGAGGGATCCATTTCTGGAACTCAGAGTTGGGCTGCCTCTCTGCTCCCCAGGCCCGTTTGTGTTGCAGAAACCACCAACGTCGAGGGGGCCGGGCCCCTGCTTTCAACGTTCAGGGGAGCCGCCTAGTTTTGGCAGAGGCCCCATGTGAGGAGGCAGCATGCACCTCACAGGCAGAGGCAGCGGATGCCTCAGGAAGAGACCCAGCTGAGCCAGCAGCCCAGGCCGCCTTGCTTCCGGCGGGGGGACCCGAGGTGCAAGTGGTGGGTAATGAGACCCCTGCAGCTGAGTGTGCTGTGGTGCCCTGGGCTGGCTGTCTTGGAGCAGATGAGGCTGGGGCTGCAGCTGGAGCTGCCAGATCGGAAGACAAAAGAGAACGCTTCAGGGTGCGGGTTCCCGGCTGC